CGGCCCAGCCGAGCCGGGCACTGAAGCAGGTCTAGGGGTGACACTCGGCAGCGCCCACGGGGGTTTGGGCACCGCGGGGCGCAGGGAGGCGACGGCCCCCGAGCATCGCCGTTTCACGGGATGCCTCCGCGACGGGACCTCTCACCACGGGATGTCTCGTCACGGCGCCCCGTGCCAAGCAGGAGCCGGAGGGCTTTGCACGCCGCTGGATGCCAGCGCGGGCAGCGGGGAAACGCACCGAGCCTGACGCGCTCCTCGGTGCTGCGAGGAATTTAACCCCAAACTTTCCCCCTGCCCCCAAAGGGGCAGATGGGGACAGGGGACCATGCACGGCCGCTGCTGCGGAGCCCGGAGCCACCCGGCCGGGTGAAGGGGCTGGTAACAGCTCTGCGCTTCCCATCTCAGCTGAAGGACGGGCAAGGAGGAACAATTTGCAAGAGCTCTGCAGCGCGCCGTGGCTGCGCTTTGGTGATAAGCGAGCCCACCCCCTCCTCAGTCCCTCGTTAAGGAAGGGATGATAACGATGTTGCCTCCAGAGCCGGCTAACGCGGGCAAGGTGACCCCCAGGAGCTCCGGGAGGTGCCACCTCGAGGACACCCGGAAGCCTCCTGGGCGCAGAGGGCTGGCCGTGCCATTGCAGATGGGCCACCAAGAGCACCAAGGTGGTTGCTTCTTAAGGGCAGAGCAGGAGTTTGGTGGCCCGGGGAAGGACCTTACATCTCTAGCAGCACTGCTGCCAGCTTTTCTACCCGTCTTCACGGCCGCTTCCAAAGCTCCTTGGCCTGCTGACATCCAACAGCCCTCCTTAAACCCTGCTGGTCTTTTCCCAGCTGCATTGCAGCAAATTAATGAATAATCACCCAAGATGCCTTCAAGCCCAGAAAGGTGCCAACAGGGCCAGCTTATCGGGTTTGGACACCTCCGTGTCTTCCCAGCTAAGAGCTTAGGGTCAGCATATTGCACAAACAAGCCCAAAGGTCATCAAAATCTCCCCCAAAAAAGCCCTGCTCCCCCGTGACAGCTTTCACACCCCTGGGGAGGGCAAGGTACAGCCCAGGGGGTTACTCATTAATGAGCGCTGGGGTTCACAGCTCCGGCGCTCCGTGTGCTTAACCCCGCGACACCGCTCGAGCGCCTGCAGGAGAGCTGCCGGCTCGAGGACGCGGCCCTCTCCTGCGCTCGGCTTTTCCGAGGCCGGATGGGCTGCGGTGGGAAGGGAGGGCTGAAGAGGGCTCCAGGCCCCGGGATGCAGCCAACGGGGGTTTGCTGCTCCCCCAGTGCGTTTTGGAGGGACGCCTTTAAGTCACGGGGCTACCCACCCTGCGCGCCCAGCGTAGCCACGGGTCTCCGGGGAAAGAGCCCAAACAGGAGGGGAAATTGCAGCCTGCTCCCATCTCTTCCCTTGGCTGATGGGACCAAGTCCAGGAGCTTTCTGAGGTCCCCAGGCTGCTAATGAGCAGCCTAATGAGGCTTTATGTGCTTTCTGGGGTGATTAAGCCATTATACACAGCTGGGCCACCCGCAGCCCTCGTATCAGCAGCATCTCTGGGGTCCTGCTCCGGGTTTCTCTCCAATTGCCTATTTTCATGAAATCCGTGGGAACTGCCGACCTCGCTGCCGTATCTGGGCTACAAGTGGTCAGTGCACGCCGAAACTGCAACGGCGCCTTCCCCAAATGCAAAGCGTTCCCAGGTCGCAACGTGCGTTCCCAAATCGCAACGCCTTCCCAAACGCATTGCAACGCGTTCCCCAAATGCAAAGCGTTCCCAAATCGCAACGCCTTCCCAAACGCATTGCAACGCGTTCCCCAAATGCAAACGTATCTGGGCTACAAGTGGTCAGTGCACGCCGAAACTGCAACGGCGCCTTCCCCAAATGCAAAGCGTTCCCAGGTCGCAACGTGCGTTCCCAAATCGCAACGCCTTCCCAAACGCATTGCAACGCGTTCCCCAAATGCAAAGCGTTCCCAAATCGCAACGCCTTCCCAAACGCATTGCAACGCGTTCCCCAAATGCAAAGCGTTCCCAGGTCGCAACGTGCGTTCCCAAATCGCAACGCCTTCCCAAACGCATTGCAACGCGTTCCCCAAATGCAAAGCGTTCCCAAATCGCAACGCCTTCCCAAACGAATTGCAACATGCAGTTCGCGCCAGGTCCTGCAGCTTCGCCTTTGGGCCAGCTCTCGGCCGCAGAGCGAGA